CTGTACATTTGAAAGAGCTAGATAATCCGAGTTAAATAAGTTAACTAAACTCTTGAGGATGCTCACATAATAGAACATAGTCAGCCACTAAAAGTGTTGGCTGTTGTCAGGATCACCTCTCATTCACATGTGAAATTTTGCAAAGATACACTTGCCTGGAACAGCCTCTGTAGATTCAAATAAGATATTGATGGGCTAAGAGGCAGAACTGATCTAGGGTTGGCCATCAGCACCTGTATTTTAAATCAGTTCCGTAGGGTGATTCTAAAGCATAGCACTAGCTGAAAAGTACTGTTGACAAAAATTGTTTAATAGCATGTAGAAATATCCACAGTACGTGAAATAAGCTGTTTACTGGGTATAATATGATTCCACTAGGAGAAAAAAGAAACAAAGTTAACAGTTTTCTCCGATGATATATACAGGCAATAATTCAGGAACACCTAATCTCTGGAGATTCAAACTTGCATTTGCAAGTCAGTTCTTCTTTATTTGACAGGTTAATTATCCATGTCTATAGTATTTCTTGGAGAAGGAAATGGCAACCCACTCCAGTGTTCTTGCCTGGAGAATCCCAGGGATGGGGGAGCCTGGTGGGCTGCCGTCTTTGGGGTCGCACAGAGTCGGATACGACTGAAGTGACTTAGCAGCAGCAGTAGCATAGTATTTCTTAGACATGGATAAGTAGAGTCCCTTGGACTGCAAAGAGATCAGACCAGTCCATCCTAAAGGAAATCAGTCTTGAATGTTTATTGGAAGGGCAGATGCTGAAGCTGAAACTCCAATACTTTGGCCACATGCTGTAAAGAACGGACTGAATGGAAGAGACCCTGATGCTGAGAAAGATCGAAGGCAGGAGGAGAAGGGGCCGACAGAGGATGAGATGGTTGGATGGCATCACTGACTCAATTAACATGAGTCTGAGTAAACTCCAGGAGTTGGTGATGGACAGGGAGGCCTGACGTGCTGCAGTCCATGGGGTCGCAAAGAGTCGGACACGACTGAGCGACTGAACTGAGCTGAGTGACTGACTGGTAGTATTTCAGAAGTGCCTTCCTTTGCTCCCTTTCCAGTGGCCTTTGGGGGTAGGTTATATGTGTACACTGTTATCTGCTAAATTGCATATTGCTCCACTTGGCTATGTGGGTTCTTTGAAATATTTCCACACCCTGAGCCTGGCAGATACATCAGAATTTGACATGCAGACCTGGATATCCTCTTTGGAAAGGAAAAATGGAGAAAAAGCCAAATACTAGATGAAATTCTCTCCTAGATCACATTTTTAGAAAATGTTATGGCCCTGATTGTAGTCCGATGTGAGCTAAAAGAGGCCGTAAATCCTGAACGAGCTCATGCAGTTAGAACAAATTTTGCTTAGAACTCCAGAGAAGAGGCCTCATTCTCTGTCTGCTCAGGATGTTGCCCACACATGTACTTTCAAGTCTTTCATTTCAAATAGCACTATTCTCCCAGAAATCCTCCAGCCTATGTATGCACTTTCAGTATCATCACATTTCCTTTAATTGATGGTCTCAAGTCCCTATTTCTGGAGTCTTAGGCCTTCGAACGTATTTGTTTTCTAGCCCTTACTGACACTTCCTTGCCTGTAAAATTTTCCCGGGTCTCATCCATCAGGCAGTCTGAACTGCTAACACCTACTGGGGCTGAAGAACCACTTCCACTTAAGCAACTGTCATCTTATTACTGAGTTAGAAGAGTCAGTGGCACTTTTAATCTTACCGGGTGTAATCTTCCCTCACATTCGCACAAGGCTGTGTTTTTGCCTGTTTGTCACCATCTCAGGGCCGCCTTTATTCTGCCTGTCAGAATTGCGCCCTTAAAGGTGCAGTTGTCTTCATTATTATCCTCTATCTCTCCTTCCCTTGGATCCTTTATTTCTTTCCGTATATGTTCGGAAAAAAAGAAAGAAGGGGGAATTTAAAGTGTAATTTTTAACTTTTTCCATAGCCTGATTTTGTGCAGTGTTGAAATCTCTAGCATAGTTTTCTGTGTATCCTGTGCTCATGGACCTCATTCTTATTCCCTCGGAGTGGGGGGTCTTCTCTCGCAAAGTCAGGGCTAATACGCAGGAGTGGTGCAAACCCAGGAAATGAACCTGTCAGCCTGATCTTTTCCCAGTTGACCTCTGCCCAGTACTTGCAGCAGGCCCTTCAGTGACATTGTCTGACTCTTGCTTTATTTTTGCTCTGTTTTGTGGCATCTACTGTTTGGTTTAGATTTACACTTGGATATGCCGTTCCTTTTGCTGGACGTGTTTTTCATTTCAACTTGGAGTGAATTTTGCTTTGAGTTTTCATTATATGAACAGTTTGACAGTGTTTTTTTCTTCAGGAGATGAGGAAGATGGCTAGTTGTTTGTTTTCACTCTGTACCAATACTTTACTTGGCATTTAAATTAGATTCTGAGTTTCTGGAGAATGTATGAGTCAGTGAGAATCAGTTTTTATGAGACGGAACTCTGAGGGATTTTTTTTTACTAGCACTTAAAGATATTGATTTGTTTCTCATTATAGAAACTGAAATTAAACACATATCTAGGAAGAGTTCAATGTGGAACAAATGAGTAGTTCTGAAAATAGTATGTCAGAGAAGAAAAAAAATCAGAAAATGGCTCGAGAAGTTGTACTTTGAACAACGTTTGCTCTTTACAAAGGACAATGAGAAAATCCTCGTCATAAGCAGGGGCCCCACACAAAACTCTTGGCTTTCCTTGCTAATGAAAAGCTGCAGAGACTGTGTATTGTTGTCTTCATAATCTGTTCTTCTCCCAGCAAGTCTCCTGTCTGTCCCTACCTGAATCTTTTGCTTAATATTTCATTTTATAAATTTAAAGAAAGCCCACTCTTCTTCCAAAAAGGTTTTTGCTTTGTTTCACAACAGTATACACACTGCATTAATATGAGGAAGAACACCGTTAGGGTCTCCTGCACAGCTCCTAACAGCTCAGAGCTTTCCCTAAAACGATCCTGAACCTTTTCTGTGGTGCCTACTGTCACCGTTGGTGCTTTTGTCTATCCCCATGGCTTCAGAGTTCAGTTTTTGAGTGATGTCCAAATATGTAATTCTCTGACCTCTTCCTTGAATAAGAGACATGTAGTTCCAATCTTCTACTGGATCATTCCACCCGAATTTTTAGCTGAGACCTCGAATTCACATTTTCATTTAACAGTATAATCCTTGATAAAATGCATGTGGCCATGTTGGTTTATTACCAAAATTCCCAGAATGACTCAGTCATAAGGAAAGCTATTCATATAATCCACCCATAACCAAAGAATCTAAGGGTACTGGGAACCATGTCATCATCTACATCGATTCTGAAAAAGCAGAGCAGTCAGTCTCTTGTTTGACAACCCGTCATAGACTGGCATAGGGATAGATATAGAAAAATACAAACAGTTGGAGATAGACTAAAAAGTTATATTAACCCATAGAATGATAGAAATCATTTGATAAAAATTAATATAAAATAACAAACTGCATCACATACCAAAATAAATGTAAGGTGAGTAAAAGACAAAAAGCAGGTATTCCCCAAGGCTTTTTAAATTTGCCTCCTTGGAGGAATGATCCCCTGGGAGAATTCTGGAAGGGAGGAAGGAAAGCCTGTACTCAGCCGGAGAGTGGGCCTATGGAGGTGGAATCCCTCTTCCGTTTCTCTTGTTAATTTAGGCTTGGTGGTGCTATGATTTTCTGGGATGTGTGTGAACTGGTGTGGTTTCTAATTGCTTCTTTCCTTCCACAGTATATTCAATTTCCTAGGCTTGCTGTGTTCTCTGGTAATAGAAAATGCAGCCTCAGGTTTTATCCAGTCCATCTCCCAGCTGTCCTCCCTGTTGTCTTTTTAGATAGTGGTATGAAAATCTCAAGATGTGATTTTTAGACTTTAATTTCTTATTTTCAGGGCAGTCAATGAAAGGCTGTTTATTTCCCATGAAAGTTGTGAGTCAGGGTGGCTCCTGGTAGCACCTCGTGTTTCCTGATCAAGCCCACAATGCGTGTCACTGTGCTCTCGTTGACAGAGAACAACTTTTATTTTATAAATATACATGTCTCAGATACACGTTTCCGCAGTCGCTGGTATTTTATTAACTTCATAAGATCGATAGAAAGAGCTAGAAGGCGCAGCTTTGCACACACCCAAGACTGTTTAGCGTTTGTATCTGTAAAGATGACTTGAAAACCGCCCAGTAGGGCAGCATGTTGAATGTGGATGACGGGATAAGCCAGACCCAAACCAGAAAAGAGCTCATGCTGGGCACTAATCCTATGAAATAACTTATCCCTGATTTCTCTGTTTTAGCTCTGAACTGACTTGTTTATTTTAATGGCCTTCAACCGCTGTTCTTGGGACAAGATGAGACATAGCATTGTGTAGTTTTCAATACACAGTGCTTTAACAAGTGCCCAGTGTTCATTCTGGACACTTTTATTCTTCTGTATTTTTGGAAAGATATATTTTGCTACTTTTTTAGTAATGGGTTTCTCCACGTCACCATCCGGTGACTACTGTTATTTTAAGATGGTAATAAATTTGTGTTATGAATCCTTTGGCTTATGCTTTGAATGCTCACCGTTTCAATGCAGTGTGCGCAGTGTTGAATGGTACTCAGGACTTTACCAAATTCTGGAAGGAAATATATTGTGAATATGTAGCCTGGAGCTTTCATTTTGTACCCACACGATCTCTCATCACTTTAAAAGAGAGCTTTAATAAGTGCGTGTGGGTATATATGTAGTTTCAGCCTCTCGTTTTCTCTTTTGTTAACTAATAGTTTTCTATCTTACTAGATTAAATTATCAAATCATGTTGATCTTAAGGAATAAATAATGTATATAATGAGAGCATTCTATCATAAGAGCATCAAAACATCTGTATTAGACAGCTATTCAAAATATTGAATGCTGGGGTCTCTTGTGACACTTGTACACAGAAGTATAACTTATATTCAGGATCATGTATCATTTTCTCTTAACAGTTGACTTCAAACCCCGTGCCAGCATGGATACTGTTCATCATATGTTACTGTTTGGATGCAATATGCCAGCGTCCACTGGAAATTACTGGTAAGGGATGGGTTCATAATACAAAGGGGTGTAGAAAATGTATTTTTTGTTAGTACAAAGTGCATCTTTGCAAATATTTTGTGGCTGATTAATAAATAGGCAGAATATTTCTTTGGTAGAAGAGAGTTGTTCTTTTCCATCTCATGCTTATCATGGTTTGATTTTCACACTTGTTCAGCCTGCTGTGGCACAGCCATCAATCTTTGTCACTGACTTGATGAATATATGGTCGTTGTCAGAGATAGCATGTCAAGATGGAGACAGCTTGTAGAGAAAGACTGAAACCGAGATGATGGATACCCTGATGTTTATTTTTTTAAGTCCATGATTCAACCCAAAGAGTACCATGGATCTGTTCTTTGAGTCCTCTTATCCCATATGCTGTGCTAGGTGGCCTGTATACACCAATTAAAATGAAAATGAAAATTTTGGCTAATGTCTCTTCAAGGAGGCATTACCCCACTTCATAGATGAGGAGTCTGAAGCTCAAAGAGTCAGTGACTTGTGCAAGGTAACACAGCTGGCTGGAGTCACACCAGGACTGAACCTTGGGCTGTCTGGTTCCAAATCCAAAGTTATTTCTGTTTTACCACACTGCCTCCCATTTATTCAAGTAACTGTGGCAGTTTTAGAATCTCTTTTAATCATTGCGGTGAATCTTAATATCATATCATGAACAATCAATAAACATCTATTAAATGTCTGTTATATGCCAACACTGCAGCAGGTGCTGGGGGATGTTCTCAGATAAACAGATATATTTTCTGCCCCCAGAAGCTTACAGCGTAATTGTGGCTTGAGAAATTCCCTTTCATTTTATCCTCTGGGAGTTCATGAAGATCAGTGATCTTTGAAAACAGCCATGCATTTTAAGCCTCATATTTTGCACCTCTAGCCAGAATCACTGTTACATATTTAACAGACCAGAATGACTGGTGTGTCCTGCTTTGCATTTGGAAAGGGACTGTTCTGTGCTCCTGCCCCTGCATAGTCAGGGAGGCTGATAGACCCTTCTCTGCGCATCCTAATGTTCATCAGGCCGATTCAAGGCACGCAGCAGCTGCTTTCTAGTCACTTTTATAATAAACAATTGTAATATGTATTTGTAACTGTTAAAAGCACAGGGCAATTGGTAGAAGTCTCCCTGGACCAAGTACCATCAAAGCGTTTGTTAATAGGCTTAAGTTATTTGAGGAAAGGGGCGTATCATGTAGGAAGCCAGCTCACATGACTGGTGTGTGGCAAAATGGAGTCAGCAAATCACAGTTAATGCCCTTTGACATCAACATTCCAGATTTTGCTCTTTAATAAATTTTTGTAAATAAAATCCTGGGGATTAAAAGGTTATTCTGTGACAGCTTTTTCTGAATCTTATTCAGCAAATCACATATTCTGGTTTTTATGTTTTAAAAATATTTCTTGTGAAATGAGCGATATTTACCTTTGAATTAGAATTAGTGAAAATAGCTAGAGGGCATGTAAGCTTTTAAAATCTGCTTTAGCTTCACTGTAATTCAAGAGAATGAGTGAAAAAATAAAATAGCACTTAAATGTTATCATGGTTTTAATTATTAAGAAAAATTATATAAAAAGAACTAAACCTGGTTCACCATTTTCATGTTTAGGGACTATCAAAAGAAACATATTATTTTGACTCTTTTAAAAATATTAATGTCCTTAAATGTACTATTTTGAAATTAAGTTTATAAAATATATTTTCCAAAAGACTTCCAGATTGGGGAAAAAATTCAAAGAAAGATGTATGTGAAAGTAAAAACAGCCATTTTGAGTAAAGTAAAGTAATTGCTGCAACATTGTTTTTGTTTTTTTGCTAAAATTATTACTTGAAAGGTATCATAAACGTGTAGGGAACTATCTGGATTCCATCGGTAAATTATTTATTCCATGTGGGTTGGCCTTTACTTTTTCACTATAGCAAGGGACTGACACGAGATCATTTGTAGAACTCTATGCTCTAAACTTTCATAATTCTGTGAATTTAAATTGCATGCAAATTCTGAGTCAGATTGGAAAGGCATCATTATCAGGAGCCGGAGACAGGAATGAGTTACACTGGTGGACTCATCTCAAGCAGGCAGGCCTCTGTGTTTTGCCATTGAGTTGCATCACTGAGTAATTAGAATTCTTAATGATGTTATACCCACATCATTTTAAATGGAGTTTTAAAAATCTGTCTTGCAGCCCATATTCCCTGTTAATCTATAGGTTAGTTATAATTGACTTTGTAACCATATACCATGGACAATAATTGATGCTTTTAACCAGCTCAAAGTGTCCATCTAGCATTTAAAAGTAGAATGTTTTTTCACTTCATAAATGTAGGATCTGCTCAATATGCAAGCTAGGAAATGTACATTAAGTAAAACTGTTCTAGTGACTCGGGCTTTCACAGTCCAGCCTTGTTCTCCATTTTAAAATGAGGTAGATACTTTTTATCCCCCAATATTTGGGAAAATCCGTGCATCTTTTGGGCTTCCCTGGTGACTCAGAAGGTAAAGAATCTGCCTGCAATGCAGGAGACCCCGGGTTGACCCCTGAGTTGGGAAGATCCCCTAGAGAAGGGAATGGCAACCCACTCCTGTATTTTTGCCTGGAGAATTCCATGGTCAGAAGAGCCTGGCGGGCTACAGTCCACAGCATCGAAAAGAATCGGACATGGCTGAGCGGCTAACACTACCACTACCGTTTAAAGCATTAGAGCTCACAGCTGAACTTTTCAGTTGCTTCACAGAAACATCCCCTACACCCTACCCCTGATGCCCCTCAGGCTCAGACAGTCGGCAGATATTTTCCAATCGCTTAGCTTCTTATTCTCCCACCTGCATTATAATTCTAATAACAAAAGTCTATCAGTGCCAAAAGCCTTGCATTATTTTTCTACATTGTTTGAGTCATGGAATTTATCACACTCATTTTACAGTTGCAAATCTATTCTTCTGTTGCTCCAAGATATAGACAGTACTTAAATGAAGATTCCCAAACTTTCACTTATATTTTTGGTTATGATACCAGCAGTGGTTTTTGATGTGTAAGAATATCAAGAACTCATTCACACTCTGAGGAAATCATTTTGAGAATACAAAACTGTTTTAGTGAAAAAAGATAAAGTGAAGAGGATATTTTAATACCATGATGAGATTAAAAATCCACCTTTTAAAGCAAGACAAGAAAAATTTAAACAATTTTTTCCTCTGCCCTTTGGTCTCCCCGCTCCACTCTAGTGGGCATTGTGCATCTGCACTGTGTATTAATCAGACCTCCCCAGTTGAAATTGGGATTAAAATACCTGGTCAAGGGTAAAGATCAGCTTTTATTCTCCTGGCAGCTGTCATGTGCTTCTTTAGAAAATAACATTCCTTTCTCAGTCCTGTCAGGGCTCATGATGACCCAGAACCCACTGTGTACCTGCGGACATCTTTGGTAAACTTTATGTCCAATGCCAATATATCATTTCCCTTAAAGACAGAGACTGGTATAGAACTGATGGTCAGACAATCTGGGAGATGCTGGGCTATACCTAATGGACATCCTGAAATACTAACTTATTGACCTTGTTTGTGATCACTAGCAATATTATTTGTGTTCCGCCTTTTTACGAGGTGATTGTTCATTACCCTTCCAGATATGTGCCTGAGCCTCAGATGAAAATTAATGATGATTAGGCGACTTGAAACCATTCATCAAATATATAGACCTGTAAGATCAGTGATTGTAGTAGTGTCATTCTAAATGTGGGAAGAAGAGACAGGAGGAAACCATTTCCTGGACCGTAACAGACTCGGAAGACAGATGGGCCAGAGGCTCTCGGCTGTGGGTTACAGGGTGAGGCCCAGTAATAAAACATCGAGTGGTCTATCAAGAAAATGTTTTCCTGGTCTGGGAATGAGCATTCCGAGCATCCTGGGACAAACCGGTCACAGAATGCCTCCCAAACCTTGGTGCAAATTAGGACTGAAAGAAAAGGGCTTGTAAAATAAAGACTATTGCCCACCATCCAGTTCTACAGGAATCAAGTCATTGGCCACTACAGTCACTCCCCTGCAGTACACCCTGAAAGGAATTCAGGGTGAAGGTCAGGCTGTAGCCCCTTGTGCTCTGGGAAAACTGGCACAACTGGCCGCCAGATAGACATTTGGCGGGGCGCGAGTGGGGGTGGGGCTAGATTTTATGACTCAATTTCTTGCATCCGCCCATACTTAGAAAAGCGTTTACAGCGTTAACTAAGACGTCTGCTCCTTATGACTAGCAGCAGCCTTGTCCGGAGTTGTGCGCTTGGCTGCACACACTCACTGCACCAAAATCAGATATGTACTGACCTCCCCACCTACCGTTCCCAAACAGTTCTCAGAGACTGCCTCCTGGGTTATAAACCTCAGTTTGGCTCCAAGAAAATTTTCCATTGCTTTCTTAGGGTCACTACTCTTTCAACTTGTAAAAGTAATTTATTTTTACGGTTTGGAAAAAATATTTTGTCCCATTTAGATTGGTTAGTTTCATTAATTTAAAAGTTTCTTTATTCAGTCACATACAAAATTATATAAAGAGAAAAAATGTGAAAAGGAGAGCTAGGATTGAGTCTAGTTGGAGGGGTTATAGCAAAAAGTAGTGTTTTACACAGTGTCTTAAGACACCTTCTTTTACCTTGAACCCTGTTAAACTGTTTAATTTCCTCATGGTTCTAAGTTTAATAAAGAACTCCAATTTTTCTGTTACATTACTTTAAGTTTTATGTGTTACATTTCTCTTTAAGTTTATTTTTAATTGGAAGATAATTGCTTTTACATTGTTGTATTAGGGCTTCCCTGGTGTCTCAGATGGTAAAGAATCTGCCTGCAATGCAGGAGACCCGGGTTTGATCCCTGAGTTAAGATTCCGTGGTGAAAGGAATGGTTACCCACTCTACTATTCTTGGCTGGAGAATTCCATGGACAGAGAAGCTTGGCAGGCCACAGTCCACGGGGCTGCAAAGAACCAGACAC